CTTATGTAGCTCTTACACTGCATGTAATTTAAAATTTAAAAACACCAGCTCTCTCAATTGTCATTGCTGCGTTTCAGTCGGTCCCGATATGCAAGAATCCCCTTGCTGATTTTGTCAGTTACGTTTAAAATCTCTGTTAATATACACTCATCGATTTGATTTGAATTTAAAATTTTTAAAATTGAAATCACAGGGATACCTGCTGTGTCTACATGTGCTGCAGCGGCTGTTTCTTGCTTTCAGCACCGTTCACGTATTGTTCTGTAATACACAGATATTCGTATTACTATCTTATGTTCTGAAACTGANGGGCCATCATCAGGTGTATTTCACTTACGTAGCTGTCACACTGCATGTAATTTAAAATCTAAAAACACCAGCTGTCTCAGTTGTCATTGCTGCGTTTCAATCGGTCCCGATATACCAGAATCCCCTTGCTGATTTTGTCAGTTGTGTTTAAAATCTGTTAATATACCCTCGTCGATTTGATTTAAATTTAAAATTTTTCTAATAACGGACAGGTTTATCCTTTGTTCTGTATGGGAAGTCAAATTTTAATTTCAGTCCAGTCTCTTTTAAGGGCTGGTATAGAAATAAATGCAAAGTATATTATAGCGTATAGGGCCGTAAACACGTTCCCACGGCAACGGATACGCATGCAACTGTGTTTTCTACTCGGTTAGTGTAAAGGGGTTATAAGGAGGACAGTTGAAGCAAGAAGAGTCAATCCCGTGTGGAGGCGGAGTCGAGTACCTCCACCGTAGCCCTGCGATTCTTAGGAGGCGACAAAAAGAGAAGTCTCGAGTCACGCGGGACACGGACCCGAGAATGACTACTCTGGCGAGGGCCAACAGCAATTGTAAACGATAGACCCGTCGTCTCGTCAGAGAGGGTGCCCCACATCAACAAACATTCAACTGTCTGACACTGATAGAAATCTGGTCGTAAGCCCCAGATGGGTGCTTTATCCCAAGACAGACTGGCCGACTGACCATCGGTCGTAACATGAGACTGGACACGGCTCAAGAAGAGTCAGTTATACTTCAATTTATGCCTACATTTTCCAGTCACTCTCTTCCTATAACGTTCCCTGACAGAAACGCCTTATGCATTTGTTCCCCCAATTAATGCTGCATGTTCTGCCAATCTCACCCTTCTTCGTTTAATAATCCAGGAATAATGGATATAAAATATAAACCCGATGCTTCCCATTATGTAATTTAATTCCCACTACGTTGTTAGCTCCAGCAATTTGCTAGCGTTCTCTGGTTAATATTGGCTCGGAATTATACGACAATTAGGCGTGGGAATATTCACCGCTCTGCTGGATCGTTAGATTGTTAGTGCAAAGAAAATGTTACGTCACAATACACATCCATAAATTGCAGTACCGCAGACATTGTGTTTATGTCAGAAATGTTCCCATACTTATGCAACCAGTGGTAGCCGCGGAATTGCACGCTACAAGCATTTGGTGGTCTGTCCCATGATCTGTGATGAAGATATCGCGTCTTGTGTAGTTATCTCTTGGTTTGTCTTGCGTGGCTCTCCTGGCACAACTGCACGTGATCGTAATTACACTACATTCTCCAGATGTGTCCTTTGAGATTGTGCATAACTCATTCGTCATCGTCTTCATTTCTTATTGAAAACTTCTGACATGACGCCGTATAGTCCGGTAGAAGGTCGCCGACATTTCCAGCACTGAAGTCTAGTTTTACAGCAAAACGGTAAGTCAGTTTAATTTAGCTTAGCAAATTGTGTACGAAAACCTGGACCGACAGAACGAAATTAGTGACGGAACTCAGTTCAGGTTTTAAGCGTGTAATCTACTATTGCAACGCGAATTCAGGTTACGTCGTTAGGAACTGTCTTGCCATCAATTTTTTTATTTAAGTGTACACGATATAAAAATAATGTTGCAGATCTTAAAAAGAGATAAATGCTTATGTATTACTTTTTTAAATTAAAATTCGCATAGTGGGGGTTGCAGTCCAGCTGGGTCCACTCGCCACGGCGGCCACTGATTGGCCTGTTGTACCTGCCCAGGGAGATTATGATGATGGA